AAGCCTTGCACTATGTTTTGTATACTGCCCAACTCGCGTGCCACCATGGTGTACAAGGGTTCCTCTGATCGGACAGCGGCAGTAAAAAGTTTCGATGCATCGCATGGTTCAGTGCTCTCACGGGGCAAATGAACATATCATCGTATATATCTGAAAAAGTTTAACCTTTTATTTCCCTGGCCACTGAGCCCCTAAGTTAAATGTTTTACCATTGTTACTTCATCATGCTTGAACACGCTTGAAGCTCGGAAATACGAGTGTTTTCACCTGCGTTTTTTTTGCGATGAAACCCTGTCCTTATATTCCCGTACTTGGAGAGCTGACCTGCCTCCTGCCTGCCCCCAAATGCCAGTCGCACCATCATGCCCTTCCAACATCAGCGATCTGACGATGCAGCTATTTATAATTGCAAGAGCATGCAAACGCCACCATGCCCTACCCTGTCCTCCGAGCGTGCCGATGCCACATGTAGCGGTCGGTATCGGGGTTTCGGTGGCGAGGTCGCGACATCGTCGCGGTTCCTTGAGCCGGCAACCTCCCCGTCGGGTCGACCAATCTTAACATGACGGACATGGGCACAGGTGCAGGCTCTGTGAGATACTATGGAGGACAAGAGGGAAAAAGGGACGATGCACATTAAGATTGTGTGGCTTATGGGCGAACATGACTTGATTCGAACAAAAACTCGCAGCACCAAGTGTTGGTGTTCCGGGCCGTTGTTGTTCGCATGGTTGACTATCTGTGATCGTCAACCTTGCGTTTGTTTTGGGCATGTTCGTTTGTGCATCAGGGTGCTATGTTCGCAGCGGATGTGGCGGAGCCGAACATCAGTACAGGCAGTGCACTTTCCGAATATGGTCGAATATACATCATGCACACAGCGCTCAATGGCTCTCTCACCATTCGCCAGCGAATGGAAGTGGCAAGCTACATTGGCAAGCAACGGAAACGTGTCACAAATGCAGCTCCCGTTTGTAGAACAACCGCGAAACTGGTGCGCGCATTAGAACGCTAGGACGGGCCAAAAAAAAGTGCAAGTGCAATGTGAATGTAAAGCATGCAACAAAAGAGCGGTGTACGGGGTTCAAAATTAAAATCTGCCCTGTCCCCTTGGCGTTGGGCTGCCTGCATTGGGACCGCGAAGTGGGCGGCAACACAAGAACAACCGCTCTAAACCAACACATGTACGTACATGAACACACTTTAACTGCGTAGTGCTTAAGAAACACACGACAAACAAGGGTCGCAAAGAGCGCAAAGACAGGGAAGGCGAGAGAGAAAGGAACAAGATTGACAAACTCAAAAGGACAAAAGGATGACACCAACGAAATAAAGACTGATGTCGTTGGCTTCTCCTGGACAGGGCGTGCGTGTAGTGGTCCATCATGATTTGTTTCGTGCCGTGACACATCAGGCAAGCGCGATGGGTCGACACAAGGCACTCCCGCATGTGTTTTCGTGACGTGCACGGCATAATGGCAGGAGAGAGAGTTCCTGTTGGTTAGGTTCCACAAGCATCCCTGGCTTCTCGCGAAAACCAGCGTCAGTGCTGCCAGGTCCTCAGAAGTATTTCGACAGAATCCTTTGTCTGGGTGTGCGTGATTTCTTGGTGTGTGCATGCTGTACCCGGCCCTGCCGACGGGGCTTGCGACCATCCGAAAATTGTGCACCATCCGACGAGGCAGCCGCAGTTCCACCGCTGGAACCGCCACCGGCCATGAGGGAAAAGGCACGGAGGAACGCTTGAACACGATTGAACCATGTACCCAACGAAGGCATGCAGCTGACCCCGAAAGCTCGGCTTATGATTCCATGGTTTGTTTCGGGAACTGAAAGGGTGCCTCAGACAGTGTTATGTTGCACCACGTCAACACGCCTGCAGGAAGTGCTGAAAGGCAGCAATGTTTGCATCGGCTGTTCTGTCATACAGAAAACCATGCCGTGGCGAGCCCTGTTTTGTCAGTTCGTGATTACTCCAAGGGCACACGTATGAAAATTAGAAACAAGTTCAAGAAGAACTCCGCGGCGCAGGGCGAATGGGCCGTTAGCCCGGATGGTCCTGCCGACAAGGCATGCTTCTCAGGATGTCGGCAGATGGTTCACATGTGGACACGCAGCTCACAAGAACAGACGTTGCAGTGGTTCTTTTTGTTGTGCTTCCGCATGCCTCGAGGATGGCTGGCAGTATTCGACCGATTTCCACCGGACGGTCTCCAAATGGGGAGCACCTTTACAGCATCGCAAGAGAGATGTCTGGCAAAGGGGGCGGCCGGGGAAACTTGGGTTTTGGTGAGTTGCTGGCATAAGACATAACATCATACTGAGAACATTACGCGTGGGTTTCTCATGTGGTTGCAACTCTTGGGCGGCATCTATGCCAGGCCAAATCAACGATCGGGCTGTGTCGGAAACGGCGCTGGGAGTGCAGCTTTGCAACTCAGCTGCCATTGTTACTACCGTAGGGGCGGCTGCTGCACAGCACACAGCTTTGCATGATGGCACATGTGCCGCGCCTCAGGTCCGTCAGCCTTGCTTGCCCAACCCACGGATCGTCAAAGTGCAGATGTGGGAGCTACAACGGAGGTCCTTTCGGCATGGTCGGAATGTTCAGTGCGAGACATATTGCACCATTGGAATCGAGAAAGCATGACGTGCCAGGACCACAATTTTTCAGAGCGACTGGCGTGCACCTTTCCTGCCCCACGATGTGCCTTGGCTTGTCCACGCAAAAGCACAAAACAACAGCAACAACAGCAACAACAACGGCAACGGCAACGGCAACAACAACGGCAACAACAACACCAACAACAAGAACAGCAGCAGCAACAACAACAACAACAACAACAACAACAGCACCAACAGCAACCGCAACCGCAACCGCAACCGCAAGGACAAGGACAAGGACAAGGACGAGGACGAGGACGAGGACAAGGACAAGGACAAGGACAAGGACAAGGACAAGGACAAGGACAAGGACAACAACAACAAACACAACACCAGCAGCAACAACAACAACAGCAGCAGCAGCTGCTTAGTGCAACAATCGTAGGTTGTTATCCGTGCTGTTTGGACAGTTCGCCCAAGGCTTCACCATTCGTTGTCTTTTGATTGACAGCAGGCTTTGCGTCAACGCTGGCGGTGGGTAGATTTGGACTTCAACATCCACCCGTGGAGCCTTGGCGAGCTTTGTAACATGGGCTCAGCATGGGCTCATGAGGCCCGAAATGTCAGCCCATGCAGTCTGGTTGTTTCACGCAATTCAAGGAGCCATTCGGATCCGAGCACATTCTCCTCCGCAGAAAAGCCTCCCCTTCAAGCACCAGATGGCTGGGAGGTACATTGCCGTACCTAGGGGAAAGTGTTTCGAGCTGCTAAAGCGTCAGTCCTTGGACTGCTGCTCAGTTCACGATCGGCAAAACAGTGAAGCCCGGAAGCGAAGGAATCGTGAATTTGCTTTCAGGCTGAAGGCTGGGTGGTCGCCGAGCCCACAGGAGAACTGCCGAAAGTTGCATCTTTGATGGGAGTTCGGGCCTGCAACATGTACCCCTAAACTGTTCAGTTGTCGCCTTGTTTCTCACTTCTGTCTATTTCCGTCTCCATCTCTCTCTCGCTCCCCTGTTGCACCCCGCCCCCCTCCCACCCTGCACGGCCTTTGTCGTGGCAAGCAGGAACCTGTGATCCGGCGCGGTGGCCCCTTGGCTTGTATGCAGCTCATGTTCGAGTGAGGTCCTGACGACGACACAACAGTCGTCCAATGCCTGGCTGATACTGTAAACTACCCCCTCCTGCCCATGTCGTGCGCCCTGCAATCCCTACGAGGCAATATTCCACAGACTTCAACCGATCCGGCAATCGCTGGGGTGCCTCGGCATTGGTATTTCGAACCCCGGTTGCGACTTCAGCGAATCCATGGAACTCACGCTTTCATGCATGCAGACCGAGCGGGATGTGCAGGCAGTAATTCGACCGGGATGAGCTGCCGAAGGCACCGAATCGGGGGCTTGCATCCAGCACAGGAGAGTCAGCCTTGCCGTGCGAAAATGTAGACCCCCGACCAACACACCCCTTCACCATAATCCCGGCCTTTTACGGTCGACTCCACCGACTGCCTGGTGGAGGCGGCTCTGGGCGTGCATTTTTACGGAACGATGCCGATTGAAACTTTGAGCAGCCCTGGCAGTGACTTGGACATGGACATGTCCTTCACTACGACGCATGACGTGAGCGGCTAGGTACTGTGAGACGCATGATTGACGCAAAATGTGCCTGAATTGAGGCTTATCTTCTTGTAGTTTGTCCCTCATCATGCGGGGTGTGTGCAGGGCCCAGCGCATAGACATGCTTGAGTTGGGAAAAGCTTGAAACTATAGCCAGCTGAAGCCAGAAACAGGCATTCTTCGTATTATCATTCTTAATTGTTCTTGAGCCATCTGAGGTTGGCATCGAGCTCTGGCCATGGAATAACTCATCAGCGATATGCCCCTGAGGTTGGCAGTTGCAAGATGGATTCCATCGGCAATGGTCTCGTACCACGGCGGACAGCCAAAGCAAATGCCAGCACTGGGTTGCCCCCTGGTCATACCACGATCAAGCTCAGCAAAAGATATCCAAGTGAGGTTTCTATTACTACACTCCCTTTTGCAGGCACCTGTGCTTGAAGCAACCCTAGTTATAGTTCTTATTTGTGACACAGAGTTTGCACTCCAGAACATGGAGAAGCACAACTTGGTCCCTTGGGTGGTTGGCTTTGCGGTAGCTTGAAGGGGGAAGCGAACCCTGAAAAGGTATTTAGATCTTGGAGTTGTGCTTTTGTGTTCGTGGCCCCCTTCCAGCTCTGATTTATGCCGAAGGGCTCATCAAGAAGCCACCCAGACGGGGATCCCGGAAGCGATCACCCAGATAGTGCCTATGCTGGCATGCGTGGGAGGGTGCAATGCCCCGACGCAAGCCTTTCGTAGCACATGCAGGTGCAGGCTGGCCTGGCTGAGGTTAGCGACTGTTCTCTAGTGCATACATAAATTTCATTTAATATGTGTATATTACATGTATGTGTGTATCTATATTGAATTAAACATATTTAATGATTTATTAGTTGGTGTTCTGATGAACTTGTATGCTTATCTAGTCGTTTGTGTATTCATATACCTGGTGCATGATATAATGCATGATATACTATATGTTGTTGGTTGTATATAATACTTTCTGGTAATATTATATTCGAACAAGTTGTATTGCATATCATGCCTTAAGGTAGCATGCATATGCCCGAGTTTCTGTAGCAAAGCGTGGGCGCTGCACCTGCAAGATGCGCGATGGCATATAATAAGAGCAAGTGCCGCAGTTACACTGCCAGAGTGCAGCAGCAGTGTCATGTGATATATTGGTTAAATCTTACTTTATTTTGAAGTAGCATGATCACAGAGAATCACTCGCCAGGACAATGGAGGGACAACCGGGGAAGCATGCCTGGGCTGTTGCATGTTTTCTGGCTGTCATCCACAGAGTCCAGCTGCGAAAAGTCATAATGCTGGTGCATGGTACGCTCAGATGAGACACGAATAAAAAATAATCATAGTACTGATCTTAATGACCATACACTCCGGAGTGCATTGTTAATAGTAATAATAATTGTGGTCAACAGACTTTTGCAAAGAGACAGGGCCTGAACCCTCGGCATTTGCAGTGCCATTTTGGTGTTGCTCGGCTGAGTGCAACAGAAGAGACGTGTAGAACAGCACAGTAGTCTGAAAGCCCCTGGCCTTGGGAGACATGAAAATGTGACCCTGTTGCAAGCATTGTCGTGCTCTACTGACTTCCCTCAGCGAGTTCTTAATTACGTCCCAGTCTCCGAATGGAGCCGGGAAGCCTCTGGAGCAGCTCCAGAGTGCAAGAGGCCGGGCGCAAAAGAAGGCTTCAGCACAATGGCTAGATAGACTTGCTTATGGTATAAGGGTTCCGGTTGAGGGTTCTGTACAGTTTGCGTAGCGGTTCCCAAAGGGTTCTACAGGGTCGTTGTCCTGGTGGGAACATGACATGACTTGCTGCACGAAGAAAGCTTGTGTGCCGTCAGCGTTGCTTCGGAGGGCGTGCCTTGCCGGGCATAGGGCCCTAGGTTCCACCCGTCGGTGCCTAGATCGTCCTGGTGCTGAAGGCGGGCTGGGAAAACGCCGCATGCTCTACCATGATGCATGTAATGCCATTTGGAGAAGACAGAAGAAGCTAGTCATAAGAAGAAGTATATTAACGAGTGGCTTTCAGAACGCAGCGTGGGAATCTTTGGGTGTCATGTGCATATCTATAAATGTGTACAGTTTTACGTGCATAGTTGACATTGTTTTGATTTATGTACTTACTTCCATAGACATAAATCACATGATCAAACATGCCACCCCCCTTGAAGACCCACCATCACCACAAGCTTGGACCCCCCACTCCTCAACCAAAGCTTCCCACATACCTTAAATATTGGACCATCCCGGGTGAGCCTATCCTCGCCTACCACGAATTCCCGACGCAAGAATGCAAGCCCTGTGTTGGAAACAGCGGCACGTGCGTGTTTAACATGTCACCTACCCCTGAAACCTGTCAACTTTCAACCCAAATTTAACTCCTAAACTTTGAGGACGTTTCCTTGGCCTTGAAACCTCAACACAGCATCCATGCCGAAGCCTGTTGCGCAGGCAGCCTGGCCGCAGATGGAGTGCGGCGAGGTATGCCAGGCCCGATGAGCAACGAAAGATTGTCCATGACAACATCGCCGCATCGGCTATGCTGCAGTCAAGCGGTCCGGCACGCGTTACTGTAGCGGCTTTTAGGCACTGAACAGCCCATGTAGACTAGGATGACTAGGACAGGGTGAGCAAGAGTGTTGCCAGAGGGCACTAGATCCGACTGTGTCGGTGACTGTGTCCGCAGGTTGAAATCCTGAATGCAGCGACCATGCTCCCTCCAATGTTCAGCTGTGCTGCCGCATGCTGGCTGGTCGGGCCAAAGGTCCCTCGATGGGCACGGATAACATAAAAACCCGACTATCTATCTAGATTATTCCTTATGTGTTCCAACTTACGATATGTTGTAGCTGAACGATAATATACCCTGAAACCGGGCTGAAAATATTAAAGCCCCAATATCTACTATAGCCTATAGCTGCAGGGGCCGGAGTCACAGAAGCACAAAGACCTTGGCATCCCAGGCGTGGTGGAGATCGCATGCAGCAATTGCTTTGTTGTCTGGCCCTTCGGCGAAATATGCAGACCTTTGTGCAGTACATGGCGGCTTGCTACAACTGCCACTTGAATAGGCATTTCTGCACAACCTACCCAGCCAATGGGTGAGCTTGAAAACCTTTAAATTGGCCGGTCATATTTGGTCTATCTTAGAAAGTTTGACATTTGTTTTTGCCCAGCTCTTGAAGAATAGAGACTATGAAGCAGCGACAACTTGTTCCTATTTGCATCCCCCCCAGTCCCGAAACAGGGCGAGACATAAAAGACGCTTGCCCACGAACCCACACTAGGACTGCAGTGTGCCTTGTGCAAAACGCACGGCTAAAATATGAGGGGGGGGGGGCAGAGGGGAGCAAATTGCGCCTCGGATAGATTTCGTGGTCCGGTTCTGAAGGCTGGTTCCTCATGGTTCCGGCGAGCACTGCTAGCCACCTCTATTGCGTGCCTGGGCATATTCAGATTACCAGTGTCACAGCCGGTTGCTAGGAAGCTTGGGTGTCCTGCGGCTTGCGCTTTGGTGCGACCAGCTTTCGCGCGAGGCCTTCAATGGCCAGTACCTTCCCAAGCTTGAGCGGCTGGACCAAGCTTGCCGCTCCGCCTCAAACCCTGATCTGCTCTCTCTCTCTCTCTCTCTATATATATATATGTGTATATATATATATACATACACAGGTAGATACATATTATTGTATATATATATATATATGTATAGAGAGAGAGAGACAGATAGATAGATAGATAGATAGATAGATAAATGACAGGACTCGTGACAGGACCAAGGCTTGCTGCAGTACTTGAGCCGGTTCTCTCTCAATCCATGCGTACGCACTTGTGCAGGGGTTTAGGGTTGTACTTGTGGGTTTAGGGGTTTAGAGCCTAGGGGTGTCGGGTTGAGAAGGTAAGGAGGCCTAGCTCCAAAAGGGTGGTTGTCAAAATTATGGTCCCTTTTTGGGTCCTTATTATATTACGGCACCTATTATTTAGGGTACCCCAAAAGGGACCATAATTTTGACAACTACCCAAAAGGGTTTTGGAGTTAGGGCGGGTTTACGGGTTTAGGGGCCTGGTGGCCGCTCAAAGTCAGGCCCACCTGAGCCAATGGTCTTTGCATACCATTGCATCAAGATGCCCCGGCGAATCCACAGGTATATCCATCGCTTCTGTTTTGGCTGCTTGGGCTTTGTCACGGTCGAATCTGTTCACGGCGTTTGTGGGCAGCATTTGCATCAGCAGCTGGGCTTGCAGCGCCGGTTTCGGAACAGTTGCTGAGGTTGAGGGGTAGCGTGGACAGAGCCTTTGCCATAGTTTCAGTGTCGTATGTCTGAAGTGCTTGGCTTGAGAAGTCAGGGAGTTTTAGACAGCTTTTCAGAACCTTGGTGGATTGAAGCCGGCTTTGCCCACCAGCGGGCCAGGCCTTGACCTGCTGATGTTCGCAGGCCCAGAGGCATCGAGTACTGAGCATGAATTGTGGAATGCTTTGTTCGGGCCTTTGGGTGCCTGTGCCTAGAATAGCTTCACCGAGTGAAACGGAGGAGCTTCATCACCACGTGGCATGGAGAACGGAGACCCTGGCATGCACCTTGGCTGTTGGAGAAGCTTCAGACGAATCGGCAGCAAGCGGCAAGCGATCGGCATTTGTTTTGTGCAGGCGTCGTGCTCCTCTACCTGAGCCCGATGGTCTGGAGGCGTAACACATTCGACTTCAGCACCTCGTCCTTTTTCGGGCTTGGGTTGGAGGAGCCGTATCCGCACACACAACCAAGAGGAAGTTATAATAAAGACAACCCAGACCCCAGGTAAGCCTTCCCACTCGGTCGCAAAATAGCTTCCACACAGATGCGAGACTTATCCGTGTCCTGTATCCTTTGCAAACATTCACGAGAAGGTACTCTCACATCTCACTGTTGTGAAAGAAGATGTTATGATGTAAAGTGTATATATATATATACATATATATATATATGTGTGTGTGTGTGTGTACGTGTGTATACATATGTACTATTTTACAGGGGGAGTGTGTTTTTGTATATGTACATAACTCGATGCAACATGATCTTTGCTAAGTTTGCCCTGCGTCCTTCAATTATCCTTCCAGACACGAGGCATCATCCCGATTTGTTTGTGCTTCCTGTTCGGCTTGGCGATGGCAGTGCCGCTGCGCAGCAGTAGTGGCAAAGATGCGCATTGGAGTATTATTGGGCGACAGGCAGTCGGTAGCTTGAGAAACATGCATGAGCTTTCTTTTCATGATGGGCGAGTTCCCGATTCCAACCTTGATTCTTGCTTAAAAGGTGGGCTCCTCTGGGCCCACGCAGCCATCCTCTCTTCCACCTGACGCTTATCCCTTTCAGCTGCCCGATCGAACCTTGAGATTCTTTGTCTCTGGTGTGAGAGTGTAGGAGTGCTGCAGATTTAAGCAGAGCACCCCACGGAAACTGCCCCCAAACAGCATCGTACAGTGGTCAAGGATGCCGGAACGGTACGCGTTCAAAGGTAGATGGCTGTAGAAGCACGAGTGGCTGCCAAACAGGCTTCGGTCCTGAGATGGTTAGCGACGCATTAGCCAGCGGTTCATCCATGCAACAAGCACCGCAAGGAATAATGAATAATGCCCCCTGCCTGCCCAGTTAGCGCTAGGTGAAGCCATTCTCCAACAAGTCTTGCTAATGCTGCTGCTGCAGCTACGACTTTGTTCTCAGTTTCGATAATGGTTGCGGCGGCAAAACAGAAACGTCTGTATTTCTGAGGCTACTATACGCAACCCGGCTGCAACAGAAATGTGTCAGGCAACAAACATGCGCCGATGTAGCGTCATGCGACGGCAGCAGCCTGAGTGCCGTCAAGGTCTCGCTCTGCGATACTTTTTGAAAAGACCCACGAAGAGATGCGGGATTTCCTCATCACCAGCAAGCATGAGGAAACGGCAGAGTGACAGCTGGCTACCATGCGTTGTTTGTCATCGACACATTCAAGTTAGGTGGCGGGCGAGCTTGAAAGTTGACTTGCATTCCGCAGTACTTAGCCAAGCTGTGCACAGTTGCTTGCAGTAGGGCTGCATCCCCAACATCATCAAGAACGGTTTCTGTGCAGAAGGTTCACTATAAGACGTCACCTTTCTGTTTCACCTTTCTGTTTCACTGTGTGGGCAGGAGAGCGACACGGACGAGAGCACCACTCTCAAAGCGGTGCCACGGCTGGATCTGATGGTTACATACTGAAGTCGTCCTAGCATTCTACACGATTCCACAAATTATCACAATTTATGCTTGCGCTTATAGCAGGCTGCGTGCGTCTCCGCAATCTCGTCACATAGTGGCCCACGGTCATCACCTTGCTTTTGATGGGAGCATCCATGAAGACAGTTGAAATTTTGCTCAAAGGATCTTGTGTCAGACATAACGCCCGGCGAACGGGATGTGCTTGTTGTAGAGCCCGAGATGGGGAGTTTGACGAGGCCAAGACAGCGCTCGTGAATTCAGATATGTCGTGGCGATACAGCGCCTTGAACCAGACCTTCTTGTTTTTCATCGCTGCTCGAGCTCATTCGATGGGTGTTGATCTTACTTGTGTCGACAGCAACAAGCAGACTCCCCTGTACAATGCAGCATCACGAGGCAACATCACAATGGTGAAATTCCTTCTGAACCATGGCTTTAAAGTTAACTTCACGGATCGATGGAACGAGACGGCAATTTTCCATGCAATTCGAAGCAGACATTTTGACACTGTGAGATTGCTCATAGAGCACGGTCAAATGTGGGTGAGACCCCAGGAAGGCTTTTGCGCGACCACCCCGAAGAGCTTCCCAGCTTGAAGCGGAAGCGATCCGCAGCTTCCTCGCCGGATTGTGTCGGTCCGGGTGCTGCAACCAGAAGTCGCTTCGCGCGTTTGGAGACTGAAGGAGAAGAAGAGGATGAAGAGCCACCCATCGATGTGGACGAGGCCACTATACATAGGCTCAAAATGATCCCTATGTCGTTTGCCAACGCGCCAGTGGATGGAACAAGCGCCTGCGGCGATCGGAGAGCGCGTGTCAAAGACGGTTAATTACAAGTTTCCACAATGGGAAGGAGTGAAAGTGTTTCACATGACTGAAGCAGCGATACTTGAAAACAAGCGTGTGAGGAGCGTTGCTCAGATCCTTGTACGCATACTAAGCGCGAATGTGAGTTTAGAAAACCCTGGCGACTTATGAATCGCACAGGCTTGGAATTCTTTTTATATGCCAAACCCAGATTTGGTCCGGGCCGCCAACGCGCGAGTGATGTTGCGGTTTCCTGCCAAACTCCCAACCCGTGAGCACTGCAACCCCAGAAGCCTTTGGTCAACCAAAGAAAAAGTATGACACGAAAACAGCCCCGCGATGCAAGCCATAAGCCGAAATCCAGATTAATCCTAGATACATGTCACGAAGGCCCAGATTACGGATCTCGCTTGCAAACATCTTATTGGTCAGAGTGGAGAAGCTAGTTCGTGGCAAAACCGCAATCATCTGGCAAATTCAGTCTTTTTCAAGAAATAGTGGTGGGCATGATCGGGAAAGATTTTTTGATCGACGAGCAACAGTCAACTTCCTAAGTTACCGATGTCCCAAGCGCACGTGTTTGCAGCAATGTCATGATGCAACACAGCATGCGCACGACATATGCGACATGGGCTGCGCGTCGTGCATCTGCAGGAGACGTCTGAGCTTGGGGATGCCGAATGGGAGCTGTTCGAAACCATGGAGAAGCCCTGAGATCGCCTCCCTTCGTCTGGCCCGTGAAATCCGACATGACAGAGCTGCAAATTTTCATGCGTGCTGTCCAGATGTGCGAAGTAGCTGACCATTCCAACCCAGCGAGGGTTGCAGCTACACACAAATACCACATCTTCCAAATGAAGCTGCACCATTCGGGCAACCATGTCATACCATGTCCAGATGCCTCATGCGGAGCATACAGCAACTCCGGTGCAGAGAATGTCGTATCCCCGGCGAGTTCTCGAATTTCAGCATGCCAAGTGGTGCAGCTCCTGGTGACTTGCGCAAGCCAGTGCCGCCTTAATCTTCGTAGTGCTTGGTAAAACCCTAAGCAACTTCATTGGCTGCAGTATTCGGCGGAGGTATTCCAGGGCAGCGACAGATCCAGGGCATGTTTTCCCCTCATGAAAACGCCTGATCCTGCAAATTAGCAGGTTCCCGGCGCAACAATTCGAAGTTCATGTTGCGCATGCATGCTGGGACTCCATGGTCACCCAGGCCCTGGCATTAGTTACTGTAGCCGCCTGATATGTTTGCCTTACGGGCATTTTCGGCTGCAGCTGCAGTCAGCATTGAGACACCAACACGTAATTATACTGGTTTGTGCACTTGAGCTTCTCTGGTGGGGCAGCGGTGGCACATCGACCATCCCAGGAATTGGCCTCATTGCCCGACGCGCGCAGCCGCCCGCTTTGCTACCGCATCTCCCGAAACTTAGGACCAACAGATACCGACAGCTCTATCTTCAATTGAGACACATTCCAAATCATCGCCTGTTTGAAGCAAGACGTCGACGTCCGGGATGCTTGCATCTGCACGTGTCGTCTTTTTGTGCGGTCAGAGCGGGCACGGAGGCTGCTGCCAATGAACACAATGGTGTTTTGACATGCACACAGCCTGATTCAACATTCATAGCAACGTTGGTGATGATTGGTGCAAGGGTAGTTCACTCTTACATGCTGCAGGCGTGTATTAGCAAAGATCCAGTGTTTTTCGCGGTGGCTGATTCCTGAGAGCCTCGACTGCTGCAACAGGGTGCGCAACAAGATTTCGGATGCAGTCGGGGTGCCCGAAGCCTTGTTTTTTGGAACGTGCCCAACAGGCCTCGTACTGTCACACATGGATTTGTCTCGCAGCGGGCACCTGACTTGTTTTTGTTATGGACACTCTTGTGGCAAATTCTCTGCTAAATGTAGTTCTCCGTGCACATAGGCCATGGAGGTCCACAGACTCTAAAGACTAACACCTCCAGATCGGTGTGGCCTTCTACGCTCTTACATCTGTCTTGTCTAACAATATCCCAACAATGATGCAGTCTGCCATGTTGCATCTCTAAAGTCTGCACATCGTGTCTGTTCTGAGAGGTCTTAGCCGCCTGCTTGAGCTTGAAAATCTTAAGGTCTTAAGGTTGATAACAACGCCACCACAAACTCAAATCCTGACCGCGAAAGACATTGAAAGAAACTGTCCGTTGCTGTTTCACCTGAGCCTCTCAAAGGAGGCACGAGGCAGCACATCTAGACTGGTTGCACATCACGACTGCACGCTGCACGCTTGCAAAGTCTGAGACGAGAAGGTGAACATAGCAGTTGCTTCTCGGACGTTATGTTATTTGTCAGACGAGCTGCAGCTTGAACGTGAACCACAGCTGGAATCCACGCCATGCATGTAGCAAGGACTACAGTCTGCCGTATAGCCATGCGTGGAGGATAACTGTCAGCCCGGCTGCTCGATGTCCCCATGCTGAGTAATCGTAGTCGTGGCTATCCTTTCTCCTGGACTCGCGCAGCGACAGCCGCCGGTAAGTCAGCCTTCAGGACAAGTCCAGCTTGTGACCCGAAGGTTTAAAACTACTTTGCTTAAAGACTCTAGAACGATATCGCGACTGCAGGAAAGGTGCACAGCCAGGGCTTTCCATCGTCATGTACCCACTCCACAGTGCTGCGGTGTAGAGAGCAGAAGTGGATGACTTCTTGAAGCTTCTGGGCTCCAGGCCCTGATGCTGCTTGGGTTTCCACCATCCTGGTTGAGATATTCAAAAAGTTCCTGACTGTGATATACCCTTCCCATCACCCAGTAGTATCCAACTCGCAGCAACGTCTGCAGCAAAGAATCTTCATGGAATCTCATAGACATCCGGTTCTCCTTGCGATAGTAGCACCGGTAGTATAGCAGCAGCAGCATCTGCAGCGATAATGGGAATCAGCATGGCAGATGAACTTGGTAGCCACTCACATCATCTTCGCTTAGAAATCGTGCGCACAAGATGTCGCACATCACAATGTCCTGCGTTTCTGCTAACCAGCATGCGGCACGCTCGTGCAGCCTTTCATTCAGGGCAGCCTTCACAGTGCCTTGCATGGCATGTCTGGTCTGAGCTCATGGTGGGCATCGTCCACCACCTCCCGGCGCCATGGGACGATACTAGCACTCTGCCTTCATAGCCATACTCAAAAATACTGAAAAGATGTCTAAATCACCTAGGACATGTTAGCTGTCTCAAGGTCCGGGAGCTTTCGGCTGGTGCAGATGTGGACAAGGCTCCGGTTGAGACTTTCAAGGCATGCAGAAGAGCTCCATAAGGAAAGCCCTGAGCACTTGCAATCTCGATCGCTGTGAGTCGTGGCGGCAAGTGGTCGCAAAGCGCGAAGTTGGGGCTCCAAAGCACATGCTAACACATTGAAAGCCACTTCCCTTGTGCAGTTGGGCTTCTGCGTCCCATCGCTACCCCCGCAGCCGGTGGTCGTGAAACGCGTGGAGCCGCGAAGCTGGGCCGCGTCGCAGGACCGACCTGGGGTAATAGGGTACACCGGACGAAATAAGGCTATCCGCGATTTGCCAAGAATCAAACAACTAATGATAACTAATGCACCAGTTCACTAGTCACTGAAGGCTCGCATCTGCAGCGTGATGGGTAGGATGCGCAAGGTGCCAGCACTGTGAGGCATATCGTGACGCAGTCACACCAGTCTAGGAGTGTCAGCAGTGGTACTCATGGGCACTCCTGGCATCCATCCTCGTATGAGCACGATTACTGATTGCGCGCCAAGGCAATCAGCAGCATGGTCTGTACAGGCCAAGAAGAATATCGTGCCAGCTGAGGCAGCACTGATCGAAGAAGCAGGTTTCCCCTCCCAGACAAGATACACATTTTCCATGAGCAGCAGTCGATCGGAGTCCGTGTCATGATTGACTTGCCCACCGCCCAAACTCCTCCGGCTTTCCGCTGCTTCTTGGCAAGTTGCGGAGGAGCTGCGCGCGGGCGATGTGCTCATACAGCTGACTCTTTCCTGCATAGCTTTGAGACCCGTATATTGCTTCTCACATGCTTACAACTTCATGCCCCTCGTTGTCGTTTTATCGAGAGGGACAAGGCAAAAAAACAGTTTCTGGTCAGAAATTTTCGCTAGACAGGGTCGGTACTTGTGATGGAGTCTGTCTCGGCTTGGTCTGTTCGCTTCATGTTGATTCTCAACTGCATGCCATGGGCTTCCTGTTCATTGTGGTAAACTGCAATGCCCCGGCCAAGAGAGCCGTTTGCATAAAGCGGCCAGCCTTCTTTTCAATCTCCCACTGAGCCCAGGAATGACGTGCCCACTGGCGCCTCTGCTGTGTTGAAGCCATGCCCATGGCGAGATGTTGCAAGTAGTACTGAGGGTATCCGGGGTACAGTAATCGCTGTGTTGGCTGTTGCTTGTTTTTCGTCTACAAGCCTTGTCGTTGTCGTTGTTGTTGTTTGTTGTCGTTGTTGTTGTGTTTCGGGGTCGGTGCTGTGATGGTTGTAACCTGGCTTGTTGGTTGTTGTTGTTGTTGCTGCACCTTGCTGTTGTTGGGGGCTGAGGCTAGCCGTTGCAGTCGCTGGCATTTTGAAGTACTAGTTATTGGTCTTCTTGGTGTTGTCATTTGGTTGTTGCTGCTCTTGCTCTTCCTGTGGTTGTTAGTTATGTTTAGTATCGCTGACATGTTCCGGGGTAACTCTTCCTGTTCTTGGTTGTTGTTACACCACTGCTGCTGCTGGGGGCGGGGGCGGTGCTGGTGATGGTGCTGGCGGTGCTGGCGGCAGCGCACTGTCCGTGACCACGGACTGTGTTTTTGGTGGTGATTTCGCTCGTGTTCTATGTAGTCTACTTGGTCTGGTCTTTCTGTTGTTGCAGGTTGTTGTTGACATTGGTGTTGTCCGCTCCCTGAGTGGGACTCTGTGCTTGGTCTTGTCTTCGTTGCAAGGGTAGCAGCCGCTAGTCCGCTAGTACTAGTACGAGTTGCTCTGAGTGGAAGTTGGAGTACATCTGGTCGGAGGCTTCAGCATGCAACATTCGGAATTCTTATTGCAGCTGCAGAATGGCACTAGTTTTCCGTTCGATCTCGTGAGACCAATACTGATTTCAATGTTTGCGGGAAGGAGCGGAACAAGTTTCCAAATGCTTCCAAGCATGGCAACGAAAACAGCTCGTGTCAGAAGCCAATCAGGCGAGATGTCCAGCCAGCATTTCCTTGAGTCGATGACGACCCGGCCCTTGAATTTCAAGTTCGTGGTTAATCCGCTCCTCGGACCAAGCTGGCGGAAATTCTGGCTCAAGCAAAATGAAGATATAACGTGCGGGAGAGTGAGCATGCCTAAGTGGACGGAAGCGGGTTTGCGACTCACGCGGCCCTGCCGAAAGACCTTGTGAGGTACTTGTAGTGTAAGTCGCGGCTGGAAATATTTCAAGCAGTTCCTGGCATCCGACGGAGCGGGATGCCTCCGGGAAACTTGAGACTAGGTTGAGATCCTCCCGCTCGCAGATGCGTGGCGGTGAGGAGGACAGCGGCTTGATTGCAACATGCAAGTAGAGTCTACCGTGGTTTATGGATGTTTACGGCTGGCACATGAAATCAAACGCTTCATGAAGTCCAAGCGGACGACAGCCGTCCCAATGAGCCCTATTGTCTTACATGTTTTTGCAATGACAAAGAGTCGACGCCAGGTGAAAGCGACGACGCCGCAAAAAGCGATGCCGTCGAGGTGGGGGCGTTGAGTCCTACGGTTTGCTGCAAGGGCCTAGCACAGCAGAGGCACGGGACTCAGGGGCCTGAGACTGACTCTGCCAGGACGAGGGCGACAACGAAGAGGCACCTTGGTGCTACAAGGTTCTGCAGCAAAGTGCCCCTGCGCCCCTCAAAAAATGTGGGTCCCGAGCCTTATCTGTAGTGTCTCAGTGCCTGCCAAACTCCTATCTGTATATCTGCCTAATCTATCTATCTATCTATCTATCTAGCTCTGTTTCTTTCTATCTGTATATGTGTATATACAGATGCACACATACACGCATACATGCATACAGGAATACATGCATACATACATACATACATACATACATACATACAAATATATTTATACAGATATCTATATATATATATACACGTACATACATATCTCTGTCCGACCATCCCAGCGCATGGCCGGCGGGAGTCTTGTACTGCTCAGACAAGGAGTCCCCCACCCCGCGATCTGCCGAAAAATGCCGGCGGAGCGTTTCCGATTGGTATGCAGAGGAGGACACGATGTAACTCTTATGCTTCACGATTGTAAGTACTATTGCTACTACAACTCTTCTCACTAGTAGTGCACCAGTTTATACCATTCTTCACAAGCAGAGAGGTGTGGAATGTGCAGGTTTGGGGACAAGGTTACACAGGTTTGTGCAACGTCAGCCCGAAGGTATGCATTCAGAGCGAGTTGCATCCTTCTTATGGACTGCAGACGTACTGCAGGATAAGATTTCTCGCAGGCACGCGGCAATCTGAGACCATCCTGTATTATCAGAGGCAGCTGGTGGCACCTTTGCTTAAAGCTCTAGACTCTACACGTTCCGAACGTGCCAGCGCAGGAAGTTATCCCTGATGACAACCGCAAGAAGAGCCTGACGAGTTGGTACCTCGACGGAGCTCGCCTCTTTCATGCACCTCAGCCAGAGGGTGTGGAAAGCTTCACTTTTCCCGTCAGTACATACCGTTCTGCCTCGAGGAATGCCCGACACCACGAGTCAGCTGACTGCTGTCCATCGCATGTCGCTATCTGGAGCTGAGCAGCCGTTGGAGACAGGTGCCGGCTGCAAAAAAGAACCCTCAGTTGAGAGTTCGAGTTCTGGTATGCGAGGGGAAGCCGCTGAGCTGAGACACATGCTCCAGGCTGCTTTGTGTCTTGGAGGCATTGTTTGGTAGAGACCACCCCAAGATGCCCTACAAACCCCTAAATCATGTCCTATCCTTAGATGTCCCGCAAGCTGCTTGCACCCCAAGATGTCCCAGATGTGCTCAGCAGCTCAGCTCGCCCAAGGTCTGAGGAGAACCTCGATGCCCTGCTCCTTGTCATCGCCCGGGCGCAGTCACAAGGCCGGCAATGGATCCGTCATACTTGAATTCGGGTTTTTGCGGTATACTACACCAATAGTACTAGTAATGCTAGGCATGTAAGGACTAGACTAGACTAGGGGGAAACAATATTCGGGTTTATAAGTGCTCGTTTCTCCGAGCACTGTAGCTCCTTCCGCGAGGAATCATTGCCGATGTCTTGGAGGTGGCACAGTGCAAAGCACAGGCCTGCAGGGTCGAAATCCAGGCAGTGAGCCCGAGTTCCTTGATTCCTTGATGAGGGTCCGAGTAGACGTGTGTTCCTCCATGCCGTTTCCAAGTTCCGGCTTCGCTTTGGTTAGATAACTGCCGAAAAGGCACTCTGAATCGAAGATTACTTTACACCATGGCGGCATGCACAGATCTAGACCGGATTGACATGGACAGATTGACATGGACAGAACACTGACAGAACTACAGCAACCTCTATGCCATAAACGCCGGATAGCTCTAAGGGCAGTATACAGGCTGTGGAGCAGCTCATCAGAAGCTCTTCATGATTCTTCATGGTTCGTTAGCGCAATGGACGAAAGTGCTGTCAGCCCGCAAGCCACAATATGTTCAATACGTAGCACATCGTCCGTGGGACAGCAGAGATCGCTGAGATCGCTTCGCACAGTAGCGCGACCCGAGCTGCTTCGCGGGGTCCCGTTACACGTGGCTTTGTCCAACTGGGGCCGACATTGGAGGGCCCCTGATCAAGGCATGTTCAATGTGGACCCCAAGAACTACCAGCTCAGCCGGCCCACGAAAGCCTACGAAGCATTCCTCAGCCACGACTGGGCGTCATCCCGCTGGCTGAAGTTCCTATCCCTGCTCATGATGTTCAACTCTGGGCCCGCCTTCGCTATCTCATTCCTGGTGAGCGTATTGGTGGGCACACTGCGAGCATATAGAGTGATCCCGGACCAGACCTGGACAGTGTCAGTTGTCTACGCGGTCTACTGTACTATCTTTTTCTTCTGGCAGCGCATCCGGGCCATCTTCCGACGACCCCTCGTGGTCTTCTTGGACAAGCTTTGCGTGGCACAGCACGACGAGGAGTTGAAGCAGGAGGGCATTCAGAGTCTTGGCGCCTTCCTTCTAAGCTCGCGGGAGCTTGTCGTGCTCCTCAGCCCTCAGTACCTGTCGCTCGGTCTTTGTGACTGATCCTTTTGCTTGTTCTTGTTTGGGTTTCCTACCGTTCTAAAGCGTAGCCCATGCAAAGACCATTTGCACTTTCAAATTTCGCATGGACCAAGGTGCCGCCGACATGC